AAAAAAAAAAAAAAAAAAGCTGGCTGAAGAGACTTGTACTACTGGTTATTTGATGCAGATTTTGCTAAAATGCAGTGACACATACATACAGTGCTGGCTGGTGGTAGCTGTGCATGAATAAACGTAACTACCTATGGCTGTGATGTGGTATCAAGCTACTGTAGATGCAAAGCATGCTTTTTAATAACTGTGTATGGTGAAATGGTTATAAATGCATGACTGTGCAGCGTAGACAGGGTCTGATATGGCACTCATTTGTACATTTGTAATTAATTGTAAGAACAAGATTGTTCTTTGCATGTGTTCTTTCTTTGATGCCAAGCATGACAGAGAGCTATAACGATCTTATACCTTAAGCTTGTAATAAAATATTGTTGGTAACCTAGCAAAGAAATTTCTTAATTAAGTTTGCTACACAAAATCCCATAATACTTTCTAAGATTTTTTATTTTTTTTGGCTAGGACTCCTTAATGACTTTCACCTCTGAATATAATAAAAAACAAAATTTCTGATGTTTAAGAAACATTTCTGCATAGTTTTTCCATCTGGATATAATGGAGCATAATTTAAGACTATGGGCAGAGGAGGGGGTAAATGATGCATGTAATGATTGTTTTAACATTTACAAGAAAATAATTTATTTAAATTGGATTAAGCCTTAATATTATCACACTTTTCTACCTGATTTAACATGGGGGGGAGGGTGAAGGAAGGGAGGGTAAGGCGATTTCATGGTAAAGTGTTTTAAGTATTTAATATTTTCTTTTCTTTTTGATCATCCAGGCATCCTGCCCCACAGCCATGTAAATTTTCCTACATATAAATGTTCGTTGCTGTCTTTTACATTCCTCTGCTGACAGTGAAGAGGTCATGCTAAATCAAATTGATGCAGAAACTGGACAGTATCTTTACCCAGGATGTCCAAATTAATTCTACCAAAACAAGAGGTGAGAGAGCAGCAAAGAATAATTTGCTTTTGTATGTTACTGCTTTTGAGTATTCCGTTCATCATGTTGGTATCTCTGGTATACATATTTAGAGTGAGCCAAAGAAATAAGTACCTGCTTATAGGACATGAGACCTCAGGGGTGTGTGGCTTTTTTTCTGTCCCCAGCAGATTTCCTACCAGCCTAATTATTTCTGCTGAGAATGGGTCTCCAAGTCCAAACTTTATCATCTTCATCTAATTCCAGGAGAGGAATCAAGTGGGATAAATTTTGTATCTGTATTTTCCTCCAGCTTTGAGTCTACTGCTTGAAGTATTTTGTTTATAATAGATGCTGCTTTGATGAGGGGAAAAAAACCCACCATCCTCCTACAGCCGAAGGAGCTCCATTAGTGGCAGAACCAGCAAAGCCTGGTTTTCCATAGTTCGGTGTCTCATGGTTTCATAGTGAATTACAATTGTCTCTTTTTTCCTACAGTGGGGTCATTTACTAGATCTCTTTCCCGTGTGGAGTCTTTAATGTTTCATAAGGCTTAAATTCATGTTACAGCTTATTTTTTTTTCAGCTAGGAGACTCTTAGAATCTCTTTCTTCTCCTAGCTATTTATTTTTTACAAAGGATGCAGGAATTTGAGGCCCCTGTATCTCTCCTGCATTTTGTTGAAGTAGAAAAAAATTAACTGGAAATTCAGTGTGTGACTACATGAACATCAGTGTCCTAGCAAACCAAGCAAAAACGGTAGTATCTTGCTAAGTACATTGCCTGGTTTGGGTCTGTATTTAAGTTTATACCTTCTGGGAGAACTAAGTTTGGATTACTAGTTAGTCCTTTTCATCCAGTAGAGCTATTGTCATCAATGGAAGATGTTCTGGCTTTATGAAGCGTCAAAGAACAATTACATAAATTCCTATTAAAATGACAGATTTCCTTCTAGTCCCATTTCCATTAGAGTCAATTGTAAGTCGCTCATTGCCTTCAAGAGGAGCTAGATTTCCTTCTACAGCTGTAATCAGTACTCAGAGGTTGGGGCAGGCTTTTTGTCACCAACATACTGTTAATCACTGCTATAGAAACCAGTAAAGATTTCTTCCCAATTCCAGTTTCAGTTCACAAAGCTGGGGGGGGTGGGATGTAAGAAATCTCATATTTGTAAATTGACCAGTCTACCTCTGTGTATTATGATGATGTAATACACATGGAGTTCCATGATACTGTAAGAGATTCACTTTTAAAATTTAAAAGTACACTTCAGATAAATGGAAGGTTAAAATACAAATACTTTCTTAGTGTATGCATAAGCTTCTGTTTACTTGGGAAGTGTAATATCAGTAGACTACTTCTCACTTTAAAGTTTATGAATTTCTTTCTTCTCCTTCTTAATTTCTTTGAGGTGCCAGTACAGAGAAAGATGAATCATTTATTAGTGGGAGGCCTGACACATGATGAAATCACTATCTGACACTTCAGTGACTTCCAGTGTTGTTCTGTGAACATTCAGCAAAGCACAGATGATGTGATGTTGCAGTTCTGTGGGTAGTGTTCTCTTCTTTTTTTTTTTTTTCTTTTTTTTTTTTGCAAATGGATGAAATGCTTTATCATCATAGTGTGTGAGAACTTCCCCATTTGGTATGAATAGCCTTTGCCTATTATTAAAAGTGATTCAGAAGTTCTGATGTAGAGGAAAAAATAGAACACATCTGCAACTGGCAGAGAAGATCTTTAGACTTTTCTTGAGAATCAGTGAAGAAGCAGAACTCAATCCACTTCTTTTTTTTTTTTTTTTTTTTTTCTGGGGGGAAGGGAGCCGGGACATGAGAGATAACATTCTTGGTTTGAGTGTTAATACAGTTTGGAACATTCTCCTTATGACAGAGCATGCAAATATCCATTAAGTTACAAATGAGATGCACCTAAGGGGCAGTTCTGTGCTGGCCACTGGATTACCCCCTGAACAGGGCAGTGGTTTCAACCCAAAGACAATTAGGGTATAAATTGGCATCTGACAATCAAGTAATTGGCAATAAATGACTGGCCGTTTGACAATAAGCTGGACAGTTTTACTTATTTTAAAAGAAGTAATTTTAGCTCTAGTGTATTCACTCCAGTAAGCATTTCTGTGAGTATATACGTTAGTCTTTTTGCTTTCTGAACTTACCCCTGACTACAGCTTTCTCTCTTCCTCCTCCTTCCTTTCTCAGTATAAATGTTTTCAATTTGCTCCCCCCAGCAAACGCTGCAGTAGTTGCAGGCTATTAAGATATTTTCCTGCCTCACACAATTTGAAATCTGAGCAATGTTCATCTTTCTGCTTTCCCAATCCATGTCGCTCAACCATCTGATGTGCTGCTGTAAGTGAAATATCACAGCCTGGGAAGCTATAGGTATAGACTTGCCTTCCAGTACCAAGTCTGGCTTCTAAAAGGTGGCTTCAGGGTTTTCTTCTGACTTAACTGGTTTTTCCCTTTGTTTTCTCAGAAGCTCAAGAGCTTTTCCTAGTGAATCCAGTCTTTCCTCTCTCATCTCTTGAACTTCTGACTTTTTTTTTTTTTTCCTCTCTTGATTGCTCCATGTAGGCCTCATCACTCTGCAGTCTGAGCATCTCTAGTTCCTAATGTGTCATCGTGATACTTTGCAGACTGTACTCTTCACAGTTGTATGTCATGTGGGATATTTTCTCTCTCTAGTGGCTAATTTGGTATCCATGATTTTGCCCTGCAGAGTTTTGGTTGTAAACTATTCCACAGCTGCTACTGGAAAGAAGCAGGTGACCTTTGGAGGTAGTAAAACTGTCTTAATTACATGTTTGCTGTTTGATACTGTGTGTTGCTCCTCATCTCTGTGCCAGCATGCACTCATCAGATGTGGTGATGTGTACAAACAAGTCAGCAAGTACCAAACCACTTTGCTTACCGCCTAGCTACTCAGGATCTGATGAAAAACCTGGTAAACTTCAGAAAGGGGGAGAAATTATTTCAATTTCCAGTCCAGATAGACTTTGATGTGTCCCTTCCTCTACCATCTTTCCTCAGCATCTCTTTACATTCAAGTCATCTGTCACAGTGGGCTTGGATCCTGGTAATTTATCACAGCTTCCTGGAGTGCCCTGGCTGTTGCGGGATGCTTGGGACCTTGGCTTTGCCCCTGAGAGGGAGCTTCCCCCAGCTCACCACGGAGGACTGCTCATCAATGCCTGTCCTGCCACAAGAACTCAGAAAGAAACTCCCTGTAGGGTTCACGGACCACAGGAGTCCATTTCCACAAAACTCTGCCTGCAGGTGTGTCTGAGGAAAGGGCTGCTGATAGGGAGGGGAGGCTGCTCACCCTTTCTGATCTGATGAGGAAGCTCTTTTTTAGGGCCGCTCTCAAACTTGAGCCAGGCAGAAAGAGCTCCATCAGCACAAGCAGTTTAAAGAGCAGGCGTTGGCGAGCCCAGCCTGGAGTGTGGTTCCAAGATGGTTTAAGCTGATCCAAACCAGAGCTGTTGCAGCCTGGCTTTGCATCATGTATATCCCCACCCCATCTCTTGCACCAGCGCTGGTGCTTGTTTGACTCCACAGGGACCCGAACTGGCAGGGAAGTGTTACAATTTTTCAGTTTTTCCTGTCTTTTCTGAACCAGTTCAGTGTGGGACCAGATGAACACCCCTGCTGGCACGGGGAAGGGCAGCAGCTGGGGATGGAGGGACTGTGGCAGCCCCAGTTTAGATCGGATTAGTGTGTCATGGAACCACGGTCTCATTTGGAGAATGCACATGAGCATCTCTGGGAGATTTGAGGGGACAATGGCCACGGGCAGGAGGAGGGGCGTTGCAATAGTAATCTCTCCCAGTAGCTGATCCAGAGAGAATATTTGTCCACAGTCTAAAATAAATTATAGAACTCTCCGAACACATTGAAAAGACATTAAAAGGTTTGCTGTCAGGTTTCTGTAAAAAAGGTTAATTCAACATACGCTTAGAAATTGTTTCTTTTGCTTCCATCCCTCCCCCTGGCAGCTCACCCCATCCTCTTTTTGTAGCCCATAAGATATCCTCCTGCCCAGGCCCTCTTAGGCCATGGTATGATGGGCACCCTGCCAAATGAAGCTGATCTTATAAGCTGCTGCTGCCCTGGTTGTTGCTGGGACTGTTTGCATTATTTTTAATTCACTTCTGTGGTGTCCTCATTTTTTTTTTTTTTTCCCTGCCCGAGTTTGAAGTGGGAGTGTGTTTAGCTGTGAACTACACTGCTGCAAATTCATGGTCTATTAGCACCTTTTCAAAGCTCCCCTCTCTGTTCTCTGAAGAATTAGAACACAGCTATAAAAAAAAAAAAAAAAATCACTCAAGGCTATTGCACAGTGTCATTGTTTCGGGCTTTGTTTTAAAAATTATTGCTAAGATAGATTTGTTTGTGTGCTTGCTTGCTTTCCCCATACTGTATTTAGATTTGAAAACAACAGCATCAGTAATAAGATACTGATGAACCTAAGGTAGATGTGACAGCGTAATGTGGATAGTGCATATACAATTTGTCAAAGCAGATGAAATAACCCCACCTTGGGCAATTTTCAAAAGAAATACACTACAGTACTTGTCAGGTCTGGGTGACTACTCCATACACATATTACCTGCTGGCATACAAATATCACTTTGTATAAGGCAGTTACACAGGAAAAGAAAAGGGAGAGGCAGGACAAAACTACTGATATTGTGGAGTCCTACAAAAACATAAGATCTCAGATAAAAAAAATACTGAAATTAAAATCACTCTGATTCAGGAACAACTATATGTGCCAACTGTCCACACTTCTGATTTGTTTTTCTATTCTGATAAAATAAGCAATTTGTATTTTTTAATCAATATATTTTGGAGAATATATCTACTGTCATTGGTAGGGATACAAAGTGAGGCTAAAAATAGACTCTTTTTCATTAATGTATTACTAAAAATTTCAGAATTACTGCCACAGTGGGGATACACATTTTGGCAGCAATATCCTGCACTATGAAATGACTAAGAACTTAAGAATCAAAATGGAAAGTCTGAGTTACTGCAAAGTATCATTGTAGGTATAATTTTAACGTTAAATATTTATATTAAATATTTTTTTCAAGATACATCCGTGGATCCCTTAATTTATCATTCATTGAAACAAGTAATGAAGAAATGACAGAGAGCAGTGAATGGTGCTAAGATTCCCTAATACCCACATATGTATGCTGTGTATTTTTTCCTAGGATGTGAAAAACAAAAGAATGGCTTTCATAATATACTTACAAAACACTATGACAGCTTTCGACACAACTTCTGTGTTTATAATACCAGTTTGCATCCTTTTGCACTCACACTTATATATAGAGCTGCGGCCAAATCTTAGAAATCAAAGGGGGCAAATGGAATCAAAATTATTAAAATCATAGCCAAAGCATGCAGTAAACCGTAAACCACAGTTTGTTTACCTGTGTGATCTTAAGTGATTTTCTTGCTTTGCCATTTCACTGGTAGTTCCTAGTGCATGGCTGTGGTTAGATTATGAGTCCACCACCTTCATCATTTATACTGTAGAAGTCTGTTTTCTGACTACAGAAAGCAGAATCATGTACTGAAGCGTGCGAACAGTGTAGGAACACCTTATATTGCCCCAGATTTTTTATGTTAATTCTAGGAATATGTTGATTTAACTTGATTGAGGCCTCTTGGAAGAGGAGCCATCAATATGGCCAACCCTCCCCCCCAGAAAAGGCATAGGAAAGGATACTTAAGATAAGGCATTCATTTGTCACCTGAGAGTTGTTAGCACAATGGCAGCATGCTTGGCCATGAGCACCTTGGCTTTGTCTCCTGCTGAGACTCCCTTAGGCAGAGGGATAAAAGCCCAGGAACTCACAAAACCAACTGAATTTCGAAGAACTGGAAATGTTCCCTTTCAGGACATGAAGGAACAAGGTTCAGGAGTATGCTCTGGGTATATGAGGAAGTTCAGCAATACTGGTTAGCCATCAAAGGATTTTACAAAGTGAGGCCTTTGTGTAGGGTGTAATTTAAAATGTTATTTGTGTGATTTTCAATTGTTGCGCTCAAACAAGCTTTTCATTTAAGAAGGCTATGCATTGGTGTTTGTTATAACTGAGGAACAAAAAGGAAAAGCTTGACTTTGGGAAAGGTTTTAATATTGAATTGAGGAAAAGCCCACGCTGGAATATCTTTGTTTGTTGTATATTCTGTAACATCGCATCTGCTAAATACAGAATCATTTCCACACCTGGTATGCCTCATAGTTTTAAGAAATGAAACACAGCCTGCAGTTGCGCACCTGGTGAGGTGATGTGGAGCCAGAGGAACCAGGGAGCCTGCCATCCTTAGTCTCTGGTTAGAGTCTTTTGATAGGAAATCATTCTGTTAGAAAATTTCTACCAGTGCTTCTAGTTACAGGATTCAGAAACAGGACTGTAGATTGACCAGTCCAGGTTGCTTTGCAGGACAAGATTGGCTAATGCACTGGACCTTTCTGTATGTTACATTTTGATGAGTAGAAGTTGAGAATTGGATGGAAAGCAGATGTGTCATCCAGCAGTTCTAACCAAACTATTTTTCTTTTAATAGATAAGATAACAGTATATTCCAAAAGGGTTTCCTTCTACTTCTTTTCATGAATATACCTGCTTCTGAAGAGGTATGTATACCGTTTTCCCCATCTTCTAATTGATTTCTGGGGTGTAATTCCATATTACGGTATGCACAAGCATATAGAGAATAGTAGAAATTAGTAAGATAAATTCCCATCACTTTTGATCAGACTTACAAAGAAGCTTTTTTTTTTCTTTAATAGCTGCTTATGTTTGTAATCTAAAAGTCGTGGTTCAGGGAAAGGTGCAGAGGTTCATGTTCCAAAGCATCTCCTTTTTGCTGAGTAGTGTTAGCAGATCTTTTTGCTACCCGGTGCAAACTGACTATAGCAATTCTCCAGTGTGTTCCCATCTTCCCACATTATGGTCTCTGCCTTCTTTCCTGTCAATGCATCTAGAAATTTCTAACAGGTCAATAATTGCTGAAAAAGAGCATCCATTAGATTAAGATGAGGATTCACTGCCATGAAACACTGGCTTTTCTTTGTAATACAAAAGCAAATATGATTCTTTCTAAACAAAGTAACTTCCAGTTGCCAAAGAGGAGTTCTTCCATCTCCACCACAATGTTGAAACGTGACATTAAAACAAAGATGTGGTTGATATCCCCAGAATATATGTATACTGACAGAGATAGGTGAGATTGAAGAGTCAGTATTTCAGTTTAGGTTCTGGTTGGCCATAAAAATACCAGAAGGGCACAGAGAAAATCTGCCCTGTGAGACTTCCTCTATAGTGGGTAAAAGACATTTTTGAGAACCCTTTAGAAAGCTTAGGATGAACAGAACATAACATTGGCATCACGTGCAACAGGAAGGCAGCAAAGAAGGTCAGGGCATGACCAGGTTTCTTCAGTAGCCAAAGTTCAATGAAATTCTCCACATGATCTTAAGGCAGCAGACTGATCTGTGCCACAGAGGAAGGAAAAATGGGGTTGTGGTAGTCTAAAGTGAAGAATAGTTGCTTGGTGATCCGAAGAGTATGCTCTTAAGCCAAGTTCTGGGGTTTTTTTTGTGCCTGCATCTTCATTGGCCTGGATAGTGTTGCACCCCATTTTTGATAGGGGTAATGGAACAGATATATTTCTGGAAAAAGTTCATCTGTGATCAAATGTCTTGGTGGCAATGCCTGTGTGAGGATGGCAGTACATGCAATAACAAACATTTTGGAAAATGAGGAGAAGATACCAGAGGGATAGGCAGACAAGAAGAGATTCTTGTTCTAAAGACACGGGGAGTAAATAAATGACTGAATGCAAAGCCTAAGCACAAAGCCACTCTTGTCACATTAAATTAAGTTGATATTCATTTAATGTCTTCGATCTAGCTATTGTTTGGCTCCATGCAGAATGCAGGCAGGATCTGGAATGTTGATCAAGTCTGAGGATAAAGCAACAAAGAAAATGGACAGCAGTTTAAATGCCATAGCTCAAATAATTGTCAGTGAAATGCTCCATGTCTTAGACCTTCTGCCACGGTGATTAGCAGTTCTTTGTTCTTTGCTATTTGAAATGTTTCTGTCCAAATTAATGATACATAATTTTTTGTGGCTGCATGATTATAGTCACGATTTACCTGCATTGTTTTGGCATCAAGAAAAAGTGCAAGATGATTTGACTACTCTTGAATGAAAGCACTCTGGCAAACTGGGATGCTTTTTTAAGTTTCTAAGATACTATTTCTTTTTAATGAATGACAACAGCATTTCTAACAGAAGTTTACTTCCAGAAGGCATCAACACTTGCACGACCTTATTGACAAACACAAGGATTCTGTTAATTCTCAGTGCCAGTGGCTTCAATACATTTTCCTTGGAAAAAAAAATCAACTCCAGGATGAAATGAATTTGCCTCCCAAACAATAAAATATGTCAATCCAGGTCGTGGCTAACATAATTCTATATAGTATTTTACAGTCCCTTGAATGTTGGGCAGTAAATTTACTAAGAACCAGCAAGTGATTGGCTTGTAAACCTTAACAAAACAATAAAGCCTGGATTTCTGCTAATGAGAGTTTAAAATTCTGCCCAGCTAAGCTTAGGACATACCTAAGTGGGGAAACTGACACAGCAATTTTGGGACAAACTACTTTACCAAACAGTCTCCTGTACAGATGCTTTATTTGTGAATAAAGGTTATGTTCAAGTCTTATAACCAGTTACTCTGGTTTATGGAATAGTGATTTCAGAATAAATGCATTTTCAAAGAAACTGTAGAAGCCTGTGTGATGAACTTGGTAATGCCAGTCAGGGGAAAGATTATATCCTGTGAGAAAGCTTAACCAGAGTTCATGCTAACTTTCAGTAATGTGTGATGTAAATCAGGTTAAAAACAAAACCCAAAACCAGTACCAAAACAGGTATAGTAAAAAGTTGTCTTTATTTTGCAGGATTCTTAGCAAGGTAATTTATTATGTATTTCCCATTGTTGTTTAATGGGAGTTTCCTATGTGCATCAGAGGAGGAATATCACTTTCAATGCTTGCTGTTGATTTGAGCTCAAATGGCCAATTGCCTGCTTTGGTGGGAGTTCCCTATGCTGATCAATGAGAGTATCAAGTTAATAAATAATTCAGTTAACAAAACTGCATTAAGATGGTGCTAAAAGTTTGCAAAAGTCCTATAAAGGAAAAGATTTCTCACATTCCTAACTAACTACTTGGAGTCGGGTTTAACTTGGTGAAAGTAAATGGAGCTACAGAAACATTGCTGCATCATCTTAAAAAGTTACACTTATTTCCTGTCTTAACTTCCCAGCGAGGTAGGTGAGTAGGTGTTAATAGTTGAAACATCACCTTGTAGGTGTTTTTTTTTATTCTTTTTTCTTTTCACGACTGAAAGATTGAGGTTGGAAGACTGAGGTTGGAAGTGATCTCTAATAGTCCTCATGTCTAAACCACCTGTTCAAGCAGGGTCACCTAGAGCAGGTTCCCCTGGACTATGTCCAGATGGCTTTTAATCTTGTTTACCTGTAGATAGATATACATAACTGGCACTGACCTTCTGGCAAGGAAACTTTAACATATCAATCTTTGAAGCTTATGTCCACAGCTCCATTTTACCAGAAGAGTGTTTGATTCTTGCATAGATTTCTGGAGTATGCTTTTTCATAATGCTCTTTTGTCCTCTGAGGTTCTGGATGTTGTAGGTCTTGGCAGAAGGGTCCATGCTGTCACATCTGAGTACGGCTTTGGGGCCTACATTCACATGGTTAATAATTTCACCTTTTGCTAGCTGACTGCTTCTCCATTCACAGAATCCAGAAGGAAATGAAGTGGGAAGTTAACTTGGCTGCATTTTAACTCAACCAAAATATTCTTGGGGATTCATTTTAGTATTGAAGTGCTTAAATTGCATCTTTTTCCTGCATTCCTTTTAGTGTATTAGGACCTTTGGAGAGTCAAACACTTTTCTGAAAACCAAACACTTCTAAAGAGTAAGCCATCATTTGTGCATATGTTCTTAACAAAAACTTTCCAGTGGAACTAGTTATAAATTTAATCTGTTATGCCTTAAATCTCTATGCAGGGGTTAAGAATTTACCTCTTTATAGCCTGACAAATGTGTATATAAAATTTATTTAAACTCTCTAGAGATAGAAAAAGATAAAAATGAGAATACTGCTAACCTATCTAGGAGACTTAACTGTGTGGCTTCACTTAAAACCACTTTAGTCGTGGACAGTCATCTAAATGACACGTAAATAACTGTCACCTCAGGACAAGGCCCGGTGCTTTGTATTTAACTTATTGGAAGATTTTAATCACTACTATGAAGTCACAGGACAGAGCCACAGATATATAGTTACGCATTCAGAAGACTCTATTAAAGGCCTTTTTGGGTTTGCTGTGAATTTACAATTTGAGAATTTCCAAGAGAGTATATTTTCTGAGACAAATTTCATTGCCTTAGGATAATTTTAATTTTTTTTTTCTTTAATGTGATTTGTGATGGTAGAACCTAGACATTTTCCATGTGGGTTTCCTCTGTGCTTTCTGTGGCCTTCAAGGAATTAGTTTTAATTAATATGACTGGCAAATGCATTGTTGAAATAGTCGTTGTGGCAGGCACGCCTTTGTGTTAACAGTTGGGTTAAACAGCCCCTTTATCGGAGCTATTAGCACCTAATATTACTGTCTGATTAAAGATCATTCAGTGGATTATCGGGTCCCAGTGCTTCTACAGACCCCTAGACAGGTGCTCAAATAAGAAATTATGTTAAGTAAATTAGCATCAGTATCGCATCGTTCATGGCTTTGTCTTGGCTGAAGAAAAAGAAAAAGTTATTGGGCTGTTTGGGTATTTTATTTTTTTTTTTGGTCCGTCTTAAGTACCAGGTTAATTTGTACAATCCCTGTAGATTTACATTGTAAAAAAGGCAATATCAGCACTAAGGTCTTTGTCCTATACTGGACTTGACCTTCCTATCTCATCAAAGAGTATTCAGCCTTTCCTCCACCCAGGTTGGTTAGGAGGATAGGTGTGATTAAGACATATTTCTAGGGGGTTTTTTTGACAGTGGGAGCAGCGTGTAACGGAGAGAGTCTATCTTGTGTCTCTAGAAATGCATTTTATTTTAAATTCATGCATTTAGACTGGGCTCGTAGGTAAACTGGAAATGCGTAACTTAAGAAGGCAGGAAATCCCACAAGAGTTCATAGAGCATAGCTTAGCTGACAGTTCACTTTTTAATGGCTGAAATGAAGCCTTGACATTAATGAGCACAGGCCCCCTGACTTCAGTGGAATTTTGCATCCTTATACCAGTCAAATTTCTGCCTCAATTGTGTCGGATGGCAATTTATAGTACCTTTCATGTCCCCCTGAAAAGCTATGTGTCCTATGTAGCCTGGGGACTGTTTCTGACAACAAGGCTGCAGAGCAGAAAATAGTGGGCTGATGACAGACAAGACCCCAAAGTTTTTGTGTGCCTTGAAATAGGAGCAGAGTGTCTTGTTCCTGTTGATTTCTGTTACTTTTGAAAGGGCCAAGAGTTTAATATAAGCAGCTGGAATGAGAACTAGCCCATAGGTAGGGGTAGCATTACCGTAAGAACTATCCGAACAGTGCTCATTGTAAGATAAATGATTTTCTTGGGTGTCTATGAAAGAAATATAATAAAATAAGCACTGTTTATTGTTGAAGTGTTATTCTTTGTTTGCCGCTTTCTTTGGGGAGGATGTCAAAAGGACACACTGGTGTCAAGTGGATTTGGATGTGTGCTACCTCAAGTTGCTTAAAAATGTGCACTAAAAAAAAAAAAGCTCAGACTGTGTCTGGTTAGATGGAGGCGAGTGTCCAAGACGCCTAGGGACTCTGACAAAAAAAACCCAAAAAATAAAAATAAGGAGCTAGCTTGGAGCCTCCACTCCAGTTCGGTCTTGCTCTAAATAGACCTCCTCTTAGGTTAGAAAGTGGTGACATGTAAAGGGAGTTTCAGAGATGCAGCACAACATTATGAGACAAACCCCTTCTCCCCCCACTGCCAAACCCCTGAAGCATCGCACTCTGTAAAAGATGCATTAGATTTATCAATAGACCTTTCTTTACTCAACTGTGCTGCAATTCCTTTTGGGAAAAATTGGATTTTCATCAAAGACACAGAAGACTATAAAATTGGAAGCAGATGTGAGGTTGAATTGGATAGCTCTATGGCTGTTTCTTTTGTGGAAGCACTTTTGAACAAACCCAGCCTTATGTGCTCCTTGCTGTCTTGCCCCATGTAACTCTCTTGCCTGCTTTTTACATTTTCCAGAGAACCAGGAGGTGCAGTGTGACTAACTGATCTAAATGTAAACTTCTTCCCTATCACGTCATCTGTCTCTCCATTTTCCAACTGTTCCTGTATTCTTTGGAAGATATTTTTAAACAATAACCTCAATATTTTGCATTGTTAAGAAAATAAAATAAAAAAAAAAGAGGCAGTACTCTGCATGTAAAGATGGAACTTTAGTCAAGGTTACTAGCACTTTTACTAGCCTGGATGAAGTTTGTACCTGGCCCATATATGATACGTTAATTTATTGGCGTGTTTTAATTTGTTGAAAACAAGCTTAGATCTCATTTACTTAGAGAAAGGTCTGTCTTCTGGCATATTGATGGTGTTATTAATGTAATTGATGAACTGGAAGGAGAGTACGATTTTAAAGATTATTAAAATATTTTTTTTTGGTGCATTTTTATCTAGTGTCTTGGATGCCACACGCAATGCGCTGCAATGAGAAGAGGAGCCAAGCAGCAGGATTTATGATGTTGTTTATCTGTTGGTGATGTTTCGTCAGTTCTGATTTATGGCAGAACTGCGCCTGGGCCCAGTGAGGTATGGTTTCCAGTCCTACCACTTGCCAGAATTCATGAGGGCTTACCCGGCTTGATCCAAGACTTTGTAATGCTTAGCTCTGCATTTTGTACCTGTTGTATGTGGACATCCAGTCTCTTGGGAGTTAGTTTTTTCCCAGCTCAGAGCCTAGTACCTTGTGAAGAGCGTCCCTGGTGCTATTGCGTTTGCTCCCAAGGGCAGCGTGGCAGCTGCTCCGTTGCCTTGGGTTTGATACACTGGTAACTTGGTGCAGAAATGCTATGACCAGTCTGTGTCACTCAAAGCTTTGCACAGGGACTTCAGTGCTCCAAGAACTGACATTTTGGCTCATGCTTTTTCATTTTAGCCTCCCCTTACACAGCTATGCAGGCTTTCGCTGCCTAGATCTTCTCCCCATACTCCCTCTAAACCATCCCCCACCTCATCAAAGACCTGCTGAACCCCCTCCTCAGTTCACCTATCCTCTACACGCTGTGCCTACCCCTTCTGTGTCTTTTATGAGCTCCACCACTTCTACAAGGTCAGCCTCACTTTGGCTGGCTTGTCTTCTTGATTTCCTCACGCCTGGTGTTAAGCAGAGTTGATGAGACAAGAAGAAAGTAAGCGGCAGAGCCTGCTAAATCTGAACATCTCTCCTGCTAAGCTTGGAGCAGCACTGAAGCTATTTTAAACAAGAGAAGTAATTAACATGCCTTTTTTTTTTTTAATGGTATAATGGCCTGTAGCAGATAACAAAGTGGAGTTCAGACCCTGAGATTTAACTATGGAAATCACAGATGGGAGAATGAAATGTCAAGTTTTTGATAAAAAAAGTTACTTAAAATGTTCCTCATGCAAATGCAAATCGATACTTTTCTGGAATAGGCGCACATGAAATGCGATTGTTTTGCGAAAAGTAATTGTGTCAAAGTAGGAGATCAGAATTCAGCCATTACAGTGCAGAAGAGAAGAGATCCACTTCAGCCCTCGGATGAAGCTACTTGTGTAAGGCTGAGCCCACCATTGAAAAGCGCACACAGTTCATGCTAGATCTCCCTGACTGTGGGGTCACTCCTTGAATCTCCACAGCTCACCCTGCATAATACTGCACAGAGTCTGTGGGTGTAAGTGGCAGTCCCTAAAATTTTGTAGAACTTATCAGGTTCCAGATTCAGTTCTCAACCTCACCTGTAGTTTCTGTCTCGTAAAACAGGTAAAAATTGGGGTGTAGATGTACTTTTCCAGAAAAACAGGGTTACCATGAATCTCTGGCTCTTTTCTTAAACGATTAACAATGAATCACTGTTTTTTTACAAGTCTCAATGCATTCAGCTTATGCCAGGTGTCGCAAGAGCATGAGAACATGTACCAATTTGAAACTCGCTAAACAGCTTCACACCGGCATCTCTACTTGTTAGTAGGAGTCTTGAGAAGGAACTATGTGAGTTTAACCTTCCTAGTATGGATAAGATACTGTCATCTTCTTGAGCATAATTATCTTTCCACCCCCACCATCTCATCCTTTCTATATTTCCCAGTAGGAGGATCAAAAGAAAGTTAGTTAACTGCAGCATTCATCAGATAATCCAAAGGAGACATTAATCTGGAAGATAGTATTACCAAATAATTCGTTCATGGGTTAATTCCATCCTTATTTATCTGATTTTCTTCTGATTTTGAGTGTGGGTTTCTCAGCCTAAATCCTCGGACAAGAGACTCCCTGCGTAAGGAGAGTGGTCCCGGAGAGGAGCAAAGAGAGAGGCAGGAAATGTGTCTCTTCTCCAGGACACTTGCTGGTTACTGATAAATTTTAATGGAAGTTACTATTCTCGGCATTAAGACAATACTTGGTGAGTTGCTGAAAAACTGAAAAACCAGTAAGCAGAAAAGAATGCTAATTTTGTATGTACGTGAGAAAGACTTGCACTGAGGCTTACTTCCTTATTCTGGAATTATTAAATTTTTTTTTTCTGTTTCTCATGCCATTTCCATCTTTTGGTTGTTCCAGGTGACCACCGATCACTGGCCACTAGGAAAGGAAATCCATCTTTTCATCAGTGCATTTTCCCCTGAGCTGCTCTGACAGTGCCAGTGCTGTCCCGCAAACAGACCGTATAGTGGAGAACCACCATGGAAAGAAGCCAGTCTGTGAGCAGTGGGGCTAATAAAACGTGGTTTCCATTGGCTTGGTGCCCTGGGTCCCTTTTCCCTTCACAGTGGACTACGCTGACCTCTCTCCGTTTCTTCCATGGCACACCATGCTGTAAAGAGCAGCCTGGCCAACTGGTGCATCTGAGCTCTGGCTGCTTTTCCCTCAGAGCAATCACTCATTTGGGTTGGCCAACAGCTCCGAAAGTTTTCTGGGAGGGAGGTTGGGGGAGAGGGAGGGAGTGGCAAGAGGTAAACAGATGGAAAGAGGCAGATAGCACAATCATTTAAGCCTCCTTACGTACAAAACTGAACTGAAAATGGCTGCCACCAGTGATTACCATTAATGAAAGCTTATCCAGGATGCAGCAGTGGGATGTCGAAGGTGTGACAGCACCAGCCATGCATTTGGGCTCTGGTGCAGTGGCCTGTGCCTCTCCCCCCCGCCCCACTTTAATTACAGTTCCAGTAACTTTCAGGATCTTTTTGTCAACAATCATAATCACCGGCCGAGCTGGGTTCACCATCCAAAGTCCATTTACTTCCTCGCAAGAGGTGGAGATTGATGTATGTTGAAACCCAACCCTCTTCCTGCATCTTTACAAATGTGGGCATCATATGTTTTCCCTGGAAATGCTTCTTTCGTACAGATTTCCACAGGCTATTCACCCGATCTGGGAGATTAAACGGGGTTATAATAGGAGATGACATAATAGTTGTACTCTGGTAGCCGGTTTCCAAACATTTTGCAACCGTCAGTTTTATCTTTAAAAATATACCAACTGTTTTTTTATAAGATATGTCTTATTTTGTGTGTGGTGTCTAGATGCTCTAGATAGATCAGGGATTCACACGTCTGAGTTTCTGGCCATTCAAGCAGATGTATGCTGTAAATTGTGGTCTGGCTTAGGGGGCTGGAAAGGAAACGGTGCCTCATTACCGCTGAGGACCTTAGCCCAGAATTATATTTTATTTACCTTTTGTTGTGATCTATGTTGAAATGTAAGTTGTGATATACTGTGTAGTACCATGGACGATGCCGAGTAAATAAAGAGAAACTTCATTCTGAAAGAGGGCAACATCTTAAAAATTGTGCCTAAGATTAGGCCGATAAATCATCCTCTTCTGGGCAGCCGAGGACCTGCCGGTCACTGGAAGTCAATTGGACCAGCAGATGCTGCTCCCAGAGGAAAGTTGGCAGATGATAATTACTGGTGTGAAGATAACCTTAAGCACCCAAGTTTGAAAGTGTTTATTAAAATGTTTATCCTTTAGCTGGCTGTTGTTTTAATCCAATATATTGATCACAGATTCGGGAGTTTTGCGAAAGTGCTTCAAGAAGCTTATTTAAGCATTTACTACACATATCTAGGTTCAAAGAAGTGGATTCCAAATGGTGTGGCGGGTTCTGCGTAGAGACATTTGGAATGAAATACTGTATGTTTGCAAGTGTTAGTCAAACCCCTAGTGACCTTTAACTCACATAATAAAGTCGCTATCCAAGTGTCTCTGCTTAAGAGAACTCAGCATTTAAACCTGCATTTAAAAATTGATTTGGTTGAATGATACTATTCATCTTGTCTGAGGCCCCAGCATGTCCTGGAGGAGATAAAAGGAGTGTTTCCCTTCGAAGTGTTGTCAAACGAGAAGGAATGATGGTGCCTCAGTTTTGCGTATGTCAGCGTAATAGAAGCTTAGTCATGCAAATCCTTATTACTTGGCAGTTCTGCAGCAGGGAAAAACAGAGCGTTACCATATTTTATCAGTGTTTGTAGTTTAAAAGTATGCCTTTCATTGTGCTTTTTAAGAGCAGATGTCAAGACAATCTTGAAAACATAAATAAGTGCTAAAAAATATTTTTCTGATTTAAAACTGAGGGAAACCACCCTGTAGCCAGCTGAATGTGTTGGTCTTCGTTTCCATAAAAAGACATGAAGTGTTTATATGTTTCCTTCCACTTCCATGGTGGGAAATAAAATGATTATTCAGTTAACGACAGATTATATTTTACTATTATTTAGTGGTTCTGCTAAGTGCAGTAGTGTGCTACGGAGTCTCAAATCATCAAGGATTTCTTAGCTCTTTATGGGACTGCAATACTTTGTAGTATGTGGGGTAAATGAGCTGTGATGGAGCAATAATTTACTCGCATAGTCCATAGACACACGTAAGAACCACACTGGAGAAAAGCTGGCTTTAGAAACATTCGCGGAGTAAGAGAAAGAGGAATGCAGATGTCAGTCAGATTTTAAGGTCTCTTTCCAATGACACAGAGCCAAGTTTATTAGGGACAAGGCCCTTTCCTTTCTTGTCTTTTCCTTTATGGAATAGTGTCAACCATGTGAAGACGTGTCTGGTAATTACTGTTGGCCGTATCAGGACAGCTCTAGCCGTGACTCACCAGGGGAAAAACTGGCTGGGTCAAAGTCATGTATTTCTTCCGAGCTAGCTAGAAGTGGTTTGTTTGCAAGTGACGTTTTCCTTTCTGACTTCCTTATTCAGTAACAATTCACCGACTTACTGGTTCCTATGTAGGAATGTCAAGAAGGGGGTTTAGATGCTCATTTTTGCTTCTGTGCTGTATTCAGGTTCTCTGCTGAGGTTGGGAACGCTGATTACGTGGTATAAATTATTTGATGCCTGTTTGTCTCGGATCATCAGAGGAATGAATGAGACCTTTTAACGCAACCTTGCTCTTTTGTTTAGGTATGCAGAGATTCCTTGTGCTGCCTGCTTCATCTGAATTGCTGGCAGACTTCTCATAGGAGATATTAATTGTAGGTGAAGCTGTGAATGCCACCTATAGTTAAGCTTGCTTGACACTTTTCATCACAAGACCCTGTTTTCAGCTGCTTATAAATTTGTCAAATGTATATTATTTGGACTAAAACTGTACAAACTGGCAGACTGCATCTGGCTGAGTAGCAAAAGCTCAGAAAAAATGGCTCTTTTTTTTTTTTTCTCCTGAGAACGAGTTTAAGAGAAATGTGTTGCTTTTTCACCTGACAAAAATAAATGTGTCTATCCATTTTGTTGAGGAACTCCAACAATTTGGAGAAAGAATTCAGTAATTGGGAGGTAGAAGCAATGTGTCCCAATGTTGCCAGAGTCCAGGCTTTACAAATGTCCTAGCGCACGTCCAAGAAGAACTCAAGAACTGATAAAACATAGAAGGGATGTGGAGGGAAATAAATTGTGGTGGGAAGTAAATGAATTGTGGAGATTTAAGTCAAGCTACTTAATAGCTATGAATTTCCAGGTCATTATCATATGATCTTTTCACCTGTGGAAATGAGGGGAAGCTCATCCCATTCACAAAATCACATAGGTAATTTCTTGCTTGCAAAGCACTCGAGTAGTACAAGGATGGCATGACAGAAAAGTCAACAGACATTCATAATCCTGTCTTCAAATCATGTCTTGAGTACAGGTCAGTAAACAAGATCTGGTGCCTTGTGGAGAGCAGTAAGAATGAAAAAAAAAATATGTTGAACATTCATGTGTGTAATAATTAGCATCTAGTCTGTCCACTGAACAAGGAAATGGCTTTAGGAAAAAATAGTCCTGTCATCCATGGTCCTTCATGCAATGTGTACACTAAGGGGCCTGAAATGCAATTGTCTGGGAAATCTTGGGAGGTTGCGAGTTTTGAAAGATTGGCTTTGTATCTGTAATATTCTTTTCATACTATTTTTGGCATATTATTTGCTGCTTGGTATTATCTGTAGCTCAAGCAGTAGAGGAGGTAGACAAATGCATGAAAGTACAGTGATTCTATGCTGAAGGAAAAAACCCAGCAAATTCTTTTCTTAAAACACTTGGATAACTTCCTGTTTTGTCTGCAAAATAATATTTTTCCTTGGAGAGGAAAAAGGTGTTAGACATAGCAATTTCACTTGGATAGAAACGTCACCACATAAATAGCCTGCTGTGAACGACATTTTAGGCAGCTCAATCAATATCCTGCCGGAGAAAAAGTAGAAAAAATCCCTGAAAAAGTTGTAAATTCATTGCATCCCTTAATTGGAGTTACGTTGGAATATTCTCTTAGATACTTACATATATGTTTCTTATAAAACAGAAAATAAACCTTGCATTAATCTAAAGTCATAACCATTCATGTATCAATCTTAATTATCTGTTGATGGAATATTTGTATGATACTTTTTTTTTTTTTCTCTTTAACTTGCCAAGGAATAATGGATACATATTCTTAATAACAATTGTCATACACAAACACGTAGCACTTTTCACGCGGATTTCAAAGAACTCTGCAAAAGCTTCACTATTTTGTAGGTGGGAAAATAGCAGAGAAAGGTGAGGAACTTGTCTGGAACATCACCTTGTGTCCTGTATTCTGCCCACGGCCCGGTGCCTTCCAATGTCACTGCAGCAGAGCTGCATTTTGTGCATGTCGTATCCTTAGATGTGTCACACAGGTCTGCACGACACCACTGCACAGTGAGATAATGCAGATTTTAATTGTTTTTTTCTAAGACCACGAGCTTGGTGGAAAGCGATTTGAAAGTTAGACAAAGCAGAAAGTTAGAGCTGAAAGAGGACTGCAGTTTGCTGGCACATTTAGCACGATTGTCAGTGTTTAATTAGGAGGCATTTAAGGCTAAATATTCAAGCGTGGCATTTGGGATTTGATCTCTGGTGCTACACAAAAAAGGTGAGAAAAGCTTCTGCCTCGACAAGAAGTTGTGAAAACTTGCAGTCTTGTGAACGGTGGAAGTTTAAAGGTACAGAGAGGCAGGAACTCTTTCAGCAGCTGTGCCTAGTTAGCTTAAACTGTTTAAATAGTAATGCCACTCACTTTAACTTCAAGTGGCTTCAGGAGTGTTCCTGGGAGCAAGCTCTGCCAACAAATGTGAGGGAGCAGTAACCTTTGTAAAGGAGTGATGATCAACAGCTGGGGCTATAACCTTCCCCTGGCGTGTCTGCCTCCAGCAGGGAACGTCTGTCTGAAGCCTAACTTCCAAAATTTACAGAACAAAGGTATAGTTTGTTTAACAAAATTGCTCGTATTAGCTAAATAATGGAATGTGCTTTGGTTCTGCTCATGCCAGAACCACCCAACTTTTACTTTCATTAATTAGGATTAATTTATTCAGAAAGCTCAAAGTTTGGGTTTTTGGCTTGTTTGTTTGTTTGTTTGTTTTGTTTAAGCAAAGAAAATAGAGCTTAGGTCATGTAAGGCTCTCATCTTAGGAAAAAAACTGTTCTGTTACTCAGATTATTTTTTTAATTAAGCTGTGTAAGGGTCAAGATGATGTGTACAAAGTATTTAATGATAAAATTCTCCCAAAGCATGTCACGATTTATTTGGTATCATTTAGATATACCTAGCAGATGGAAGCATAGACTGCTGCCATTAAGTGTTTGAGGTTTAAATGCGTGCTCTTGAAAAATGATCAGTGGTAGAAAAAGTTTCCTACATTTCAAATCTTGATGGCTACTGGTAATTTCTTTACTGACAAAATGGCATAGTGAACTTCAGGTGGACAGTTTGTTCTTTTGATTGAAGAGTGATCGAAATAGCACCCAGAACATGCATGCTACCATGTGAAATGTCAGAGTATCGTGGTTCCTATGTCAATAATTTGAATTCAAATGCTGTTTTATACTTACTTTCATAAATAGATAGGAGCCAAGTTTGGAGAGTTAAGGCAAATCATTAATGAAATTTTTTTTTTTACTTTCCCTGAGAGTGTTTCTAGCCATATTTGTGTCTGTGAAAGTACCTGTTGAAAGAGGATACGGTCGAGTGCTGATTCCTACACTTACTTCTTCTGGGCATTCCTCGTTTAAATCATGCTTTTGTTAGCTGTAGAATAAGCCAGTGTTGAACAATCCTTCAAATAGCCCAAACCTTGAGTAAAAGCATTTTGTTATACAAAAGGAGATAGGCAGAAGAGCCCTTGTAAATATATCATCTACTGCCAGAGCACAAATATGTAATTTGACAGTACGTTTTTGTGGACAAGAGGAATGAAAGTTATTTTAAACTCCTCTCTCTTTTCCTCCTACCTTTGAGGTTATAGCTGTAATGAAATACCCCAAACGTCATTTATTCCTCTCTGCGCTTCTTTCAATATGAGTCTCCAAAGCAACAAGCAACATCTCTTGTGGAAAAAAAGGGTATCTGAAAACTGTTCTGAGTACTGCAGATGGTGAAATAAGAATGAAAGTAAAAGAAATATGATAAACGGTGTCTGCCGAGAAAGCTCCTGTGGAACTGCTGAGTGAGGATCGCTGACGCTCAGACTCACGTAATTATGAAACTTAGTGAAGATGAGCTGTTGGGAGATCTCAATTAGATAGTGCAGCCAACCCCGACAGATAATGTTTCCTATGTGAGCCACTAAGGGGTGTTACGTCAGAGAAGTCCGTGTGTTGTGCTCCCAGTGAAGTGGCCAAGAAAAGATAAGGACTGGTTGAAGTACATGGACAGTGTTTTTGGGGTGGGTCTTTCTGTGTGTGCTCTATCCAATTCTAGGTTATACAGCACAGTCTTGAAGGAAAACAAAGGTTTTGTATTGTCTGGAAAGCTGAGGGGTGGGTAGATACCCAGTAGATAGGGCTTTCATCACAGTTTCCATTGGCCTTCATTCTGTCGTTTGGAAGATGATCAAATTAAGACCTTGTTCTAGCTCTGCTTTGCACACATCACAGAGATGAGAGTGAAAAAATAACATTCATTATTTGTAAGTTTCTGTTTTGTTTTTTTTAAAAACAAAATCTCCTTTTGCACTTGGGGCAGCACGTTGTGTTGTTTTATGGAAGAATTCCCTGTTTACTTTGCATGTAGCTGTTCTTTTAGAAATTTGTTTTTTATACGGGAAGGTGTTAGTGGCTGCCATCGGGTGGTTCTTACATCTGTAGAAAATCTCAGATCTGGGTAGAGATGTTAAATGTGCTAAACAGCTTTCCTCCGGGCTGATTAGGAATATTTAAAGATGGTTTTAGCTGCTTGTAGGCAGGCAGTGT